AGTACATGCAACCTCTCACCTTATCTGAAAAATTCACATAGTTGATACTACCTGAGACTCCTGCTAGATAAATCAGTGTTCATATGACAAAATGTTCTTGCACACCTGATGCATGTAATCCTGGAGCAGGCATTGAACTGCACAACTCTCAAACCCAAATTTAGCCTCGCTATAAATCCACCAAAAATTATGGTCTCCATCATAAAGCCTGTACATTTGTGGCATTATATAAAATATTAATTTTTACCTAATTTTGTGTTCTCTCTGAGAAGCCAGGAAAGATTACTGAGGAATTTTAAAAAGGGGGGAAGGGGAACTTTTTTTTATAACAAAAGGAACTTTGCTTTCCAGGATGAAGAAGCTCTAATGGCCAATGAATGGAACATGTATTGCTTTTCTATTTATCTCTCAAGAGCTACTCCAGTCTCTGATCAGTTCCATAATACGGAACTCTTTGGCTTGGTATGCCCTGACCAGATGCTCTTTAAGGGCTTGTCTTCACTCCAGAGCTAAATCGGCACTGCTGCAATCGATGCAGCAGCATTGATTTAGCAGGTCTAGTGAAGACAAGCTCAGTCGATGGAAGAGTGCTCTCTCGTTGATTTCTGTACTCCACCTCAATGAGAGGCAGAAGCAGTGTCGGTGGGAGAGTGTCACCCATCGACATAGTGTAGTGTGGACCCCACATGAGTAGATCTGAGCTACGTCAACTTGAGTTACGCTACTAACGTAACTCACATTGCATAGCTTAGCTCGATCGGCAGCTGTAGTGTAGACCAGGCCTAAGAGTCTGGTGGAAATGAGCCCCTCTTCTGACCTCTTTAGGAAGTACAACGGCAAGAGTTCTTCCTTTTCCGTTCAGGTTTCTTCCCTAACTACAGAGGAACTTGGCCACATTACAGCAGGGCTCGAGCCCTTTGCACCTTCAGTTCTTCAGCCACAAGCGTATCTACCAATTTGCAGCAATATATTTCCCCTACACTTTTGCCCTTGTAGCTAAATTAGCCACACACGTGGAAGGGTAAATGCTGCTTAGTGTACTTAGTGACCATATCTGTGCATGCTCAGTAGGTGACTTTCACAGAGGCATAACTCTTGAAAAAATAAAGGCTCTTCTTCTGGCTGAGGGCTATTTCCATGCCAGATTTTAACTTTCTACCTCCAGCCATTTCAGCTATTGTGTGACTCAAAAATCATGTCATTAGAGCTGGTCAAAAATTTTCCAATGGAACATCTGTCTGGGTGAATACTATCTTGTTGAAATCAAAGTTTCATAGAAACCAGTCTATTTTGACTGATTTTAAAAAATGGAACTGAGTGTTCTGATCGCAAATGTCCATTTTTAATGTTTTCGGAATGAAACATTCAAACTTTTTTGTTTCAAAATATTTCATTCCAGTTTTTGTTTATATGTATGTATAAATAAAATAAAGTCAAAATCAGAATGAAATGTTAAAATTTAAATAAAACAAAATGACACTTTTTGGTTTTGTTCTGGAATCTTGTTTGACAGGAAGTTCAATTACATTTTTTTATGTTTTTGTTGTTGTTCCATTTCAGAATGGAAATTTTTTTGAAATTTCATGTATAAAAGGAAAATCCAATTCCCACACAGTTCTAGCTGCAGTATCTTTTTTATGAGGTTCTCTTGTACTCAAAATGGAAGGCACTGCAGTGTTTCCAACTCTCATGATTTTATTGCAAGTCTTGTGGTAGTTGATGTCTTTCTTAAAGCCCCAGGTCCTGGAATCATGTGAATGCCTGAGAATCTCAGCTTTGATTTTAAAAATAAGTACGTTTCAGAGAAAAGCTTAAAACCATTATTCAAGTGCATTTGAAATCTTCAGCCGTCAAAGAAAATGAACCCCAATTTTTATTTTTATTTTAAATCTTGAGATTTTTAAGCTATTAGTGTTTGTGGGGAGGGGCTGACTTGTGTTTTTTTTATTTTTTTTTATTTATTTGTGTGTTTATTTATTTATTTATGTGAATGCTAGAGGTTGGCAATATTGGCATGGCTTTTGTTTAAACTTTTTAAAAAATTGCCAGTGGCTAGAAACCAAAAATGAAAAATGTCAACCCAAAACCATGGGTTAGAATAAAAATATTTGTGTTACTGTAGCACCCAGAAACTGGAGTCATTGACCAGGGCAGCCTTATGCTAGGCACTGCAAATACACAGAACGAAAGGATGGATCCTGCCCCAAAGAGCTTACACTCTCTAAAGATAAAACAGAGCTGACAGGTGGATCCAGGTAGTCTGCTCTTGCTGTCATTAGGATTCCACTGACATGGGCTCCCGCTTGTTATTGTGTTTCTGTTTTGTTTGTTTTTTAATTTAATACTGACCAATAATGAAGCAATGGCTGAAAACTTGGAGAGTGCAGGTTTATAGTTAGGCACCAGTGGAAACAAAATAAGAGATCAGAATGCTAAGAATGGGAAAGATGGGAGGAGCAGAGTGATAAAAGGAAGCTAAAAATGATTGTAAGTAAGATCTTAGCAGGAGAGAGAGAAAGAGACTAAAGGGCACTTGATTTCAAACAAGACACAATAATTAGAGAGAGCTCAGAAGAGAGGAACAAAACCGATGAAAGGTTTGGAAAATAAGACCTATGAGGAAAGGTTAAAAGAACTAGGCCTGTTCTATCTGGAGAAAATAAGCTTAAAGGACACATAATTGTCTACAAGTATGTAAAGGGAAGGTGTGAAGAGGACAGGCATCAATTTATTCTCAAGTCAAGGAGGATAAAACTAGGAGTAATGGGTTTAACCCTTAGAGGGCCATGGAGGAATCATAAAATAGCAGGGTTGGAAGGGACCTCAGGAGGTCATCTAGTCCAACCCCCTGCTCAAAGCAGGACCAATTCCCAACTAAATCATCCTCCTATTTGCTATGTGCTCTTTACAGAAGACCTGGAGACTTGCATCCTATTTCCAAGCAGCAGAAACACTGCCTTTTTCTCCTCTGTCTCCCTCCCCTCCTCCAGCCCCATAGCCAGTTCCCAGCCCAGGGCTAGACTAGCTTCCCATGAGCCCAATGTTCTCCAGACCTCTACCCATCTTTGAGCACTGCTGGCCCCACCTCCCCGTTAACTCAAGCTGCCGCCCGTGTGCTTGCTCCAAATGCTTCAGGTCTTGCTGGTTCCCAGTCCAACAGACGCGCTGAATACTGGTAGCAGAGATAAGTGGGTTATTTCAGGACCATAGTCTTAGGTGGAGGAGAGAGGGTTTGTCCAGCATGAGGCAGCAGGAATGGCTCCCTCCCCCCCCACCCCCCAAAAAATCCCAAACCTATCCCACTCCCTAGTTGCTTGGAATCCTTCCTCTTCCCTGGTATAATGGCCCCACAGCAATCTGGCTAAAGCCCTAGAAACATCGCCCTTCTCCAGAATGTCGAACACACTGTAGGCTGGAATGAGTCATTAGGCTGTGCTCAGAGTAAGTGGTGGTGTGGAAGCTGTCCTGCCCTGGCAGTAGCCTGGGTGAGACTTGTGACCCCTGCACCTCCCTTGCTGTGGGATCTGGAGTAAATTACTTCAGCCCTTTACAGGGTGCAGTTTATCCATCTTTCCCCTGTGCATCGGGACACCCACTCCTTGACCCTCTCTGGCCACCCCTTGCAAGTACTGGGCAAGCAGCCTCTGCTCACCTGCTGTCCCTGCTCGCCGTGGCCAGAGCCACAAAGGGTTAGGGGTAATCTAGCCCCAGGAATGATTAGTCAGTCTCTTGAGGATTAAATCATAGCAGCAAAAAAAAAAATGTTAAATATCCCAAAAGGCATTATCAGAACAAACCCTGGAACCAGTTGTCCGGGGTAGCTGTAAAATCACCCTCACTGGAGATACACAGGGCTAGATCGAACTCCCATCCAAGGGTACTGGAGATTGTTGGAGAACGATAATGAACCCAGTCCTGTCACTGTGCAGCAGGTGGACAAGATGACCCAACGGCGTGCTCTTCAAAGCAAACGCTCCAGTGGTCACGGAAACAGCCAACTTCACCATGCAGCTGAAGTGGGGCCTTGGGGGAAGGGGTGGAGTGGGGATGGGGCCTTGGGCAGAGCAAGTGTCGAGCACCCCTCTGCAAATCAGAAAGTTGGCTGAATCCCCCCCTCACATGCTAGCCAGCCGTGCAGGAGATGGCAAACTGCTCCTGCAAAGGGACGTGGGAGCAGGTGCTCAGCCTCAGTGTGCCAGATGTTTCCTGGGCTCCCCCAAGGGCTGTGCAGCTCCACTCTCTCGTTTGCTATGGGCTGTGTCTAAATGGCACCGTCAGGCCCTCGATAGTCTCTTTTCGCAGGAGATCTTTTCTCTCCAAAAGGCGAGCTGCGCTGCATGAATGCAGATTTTGCTAGTATAGGCGAAGACGCTGAAGGGTGGCTGGAATCTGAAGCAGGATCTCTGCTTGTCTGGCATTACTGAAATGGCAAACAAGCAACGAACCCTCTTCTAACTTCAGCAGGATGCAATCTAAGTATGGATGTATTAGGACCTGATGCTCGGCTGGTGAAAACAGTCCTCCTGACAAGATTTAAGCCTGATGAGCATCTGGCCTATAGTTCTGAGATGCAAGTTCTTCTATTTACTTCTGTTTCATATTAGGTATCATCATTATCATGACATAGCTAATCACTTTGAGGATAAATACAGAAAGGATTATGAGGCATTCAAATACTACAATAACCGGGGCCAAATCATAGAATCATAGAATATCAGGGTTGGAAGGGACCTCAGGAGGTCATCTAGTCCAACCTCCTGCTCAAAGCAGGACCAGTCCCCAACTAAATCATCAGACCTCCAATAGATCCCGATGGGATTATGTGCAGAGTAAAGCACTACTCCATGTGAGTAAATGAGGCAGAATTGGAAATTTTGAATCAGTAAAAATTAACATCCGTTTTATACTCCGCAGGTAATGATGACAGGTTAAAAAGTTGAGACAATGTCAAGATAAACTACTTCTTGTTTCTGTTCTCCCATACCTCCCCTTCCCCTCAGGTTTTTCCACCATGTTTGGAAAGAAAAAGAAAAGGCTTGAAATTTCTGGACCGTCAAATTTTGAGCACCGGGTTCACACTGGATTTGATCCCAGAGAACAAAAATTTACAGGACTACCTCAACAGTGGCACAGCTTGCTAGCGGACACCGCAAACAGGCCGAAGCCTATGGTGGACCCTTCATGTATCACACCCATCCAGCTTGCTCCCATGAAGGTAGTGTACAGGATCTGGGTTTCCTATTGTCTTTGAGCTTTTCATGCAGGTTCCAGCTCTTGGCAGTTTTACAGGAGTAATGTTGGTACATGTTCTCCAGAAGGACTGAGGGTTATATTTCTTCATCACCAAATGCATATTTGTTGGCCCAAGACCTGCTATTAATAGGGTATAGATGGAATGCTGGGCCTGCCTGGAGTCCCACAGACTTTGTCGCAGATCAGTGCAGGTACAGCAACCAAGTTCAGAAACTGGGCCGTCATTTGATGCACTGTAAATCAGCCAGTTTCCTTTCCTTTCATCCCCAATATAGCCATGAGATTAAATCCTGGACCTTTTAAGTCAATTGGAGCTCTGGCATTGACTCCAGTATAACCAGGATTTATGTGTATATTGTATTTGTATTATCATTATTACAAATACTAATAGTATTGGGGTAGCACACAATCGGGATCCAAGCCACAGCATGCTAGACACTGTCTAACCCAAAAGGAAGATATCCACATCCCAAAGAGTTTAGTCTGAGACAAGCAGCATATAAAGTGTTAGTGGAGAGGTATACCCCAAATCAACTATTAAATACTTCGAGGGAGAGAGAATACTCTAGCAAATGTATTTTTAAAAACAAATGTAAAAATGACCTAAAATAGATTTTACATGCATAAAAATGTCAGACCTCCAATGAGCAATACATTGGCACTGTCCAGGGTTACGTGACAGTGTCAAGTGTCAGGCCTGGCCTACATGGGGGTGGGGGGGATCGATCTAAGTTATACAACTTCAACTACGGGAATAATGTAGCTGAAGTCGACGTACTTAGATCTACTTACTGCGGTGTCTTCATTGCGGTAAGTCGACTGCTGCCGCTCCCCCGTCGACTCTGCCTATGCCTCTCGCTCTGGTGGAGTACCGGAGTCGACGGGAGAGTGCTCGGTGGTCGATTTATCGCATCTTCACTAGACACGATAAATCAACCCCTGCGGGATCGATCACTGCGGAGGTAAATGTAGACATGCCCTCAGAGTGGACAACTGCAAGTCCCTTTTCCAATTGTATAGAGCTCCCATTTCTAGCCCTGCAGGGCTGCAAGATATCAGATCGTAAACCTGGCACTGGAGTGATTGTCCATTTTGGGCCTTAGGCAAGGGTAATGTGGAGAGAGAAGCACCACACTTGGGGAAGGAAGATTAAAAAAAAATATTAGGGCAGCTATGTGAAGATCCTTTAGAATTTAGACATTCTAGACTAAGCTCAGGAAAGATGGGCAGAGTGCAGGTGAGACAGTCCAAGGGGCATGATAAATGCATGTTCAGTTGGCTCTACAGTATCACACACCCGACATGTGCACGCATGTTTTTTCTCTCTCTCATATTCACACATGCTGCTCTTTCTTTCATACTCTTACTCTACCACTATCCTAGAAGAGAAGTTCTGTGACTTAAAATTCTTATCGGCTTCTTTCCATCCATGAAAAAATATCAATTCTGAGAGTACAAATCATTCATTTGTATTTGTTAATCCTCCTTGCCAAAATCAGGTTTACTGCCAACTGCTATGTAATGTGCTCTCTACCTGCGAGGTCTGGATTGTTGAAAAGCAAAGAAGGATTTCTGGTGTGATTAAAATAGCTTGCTGTTGCGTAAAAGAAGCACTGGAGTAATGGAAAGAGCAGAAAGGCATTTGCCTGCTAGATGTGCATAAGAATAAGGACAATCGCATTCCACAGGATGCGCAATATATCTGATCCAGTGGGTATTTGGCCATAAATTAACAAAGATGTTATATAGAGGAAAAATCAGATTACTGTTTTGCTGCAATCTCATCCATTTTATGGATTTCTTTGGGGTGATCCGTCTTTAGGCTTAAACTCTTTTAAAATGTATTGGATTTGTCAGCTCTGCATAGCCCGGCTTAATTATGGGTCCAAGCCAGCCAAAGACTTCCACATGTGAGCAGCTTTGCTCATGTGACTGGTCCCTTTGAAGCCGTAGGCACATACGTGCATACGTGTCTGCAGGATTGAGCTCTGTCTGACTAGGTGAAGAGTTGTGAGACAGTGTACAAAGACAAAACCTGATGCCATTGGGACGGTGAGAGCCATTTGCAATTATTTTAATAGACCGACACTATCTTGTCTCTCCTTGTATTTATGAAGTAGTTGTTTTTTTAGTCCTGGAAATCATATAGGGTCCAATCTGGCAATGGGGCTGTGCATATAACTCCTATTGTATACTGCAGGAGTTCTATGCACAGTGGACTTGCTTTCATGTTACCTGGTGATTATCCACTTTTTTTTCTCTTTCTCTCCCCTCCTCCCACCTCCTTCACAATATAATTACTGCACAAGATCTTATCACCATATTCCACCTTCCCCCCCCCCCCTCCCAGGACAATCTATTTGAGGACTTAAGTAAGGTACTTCTGAAAATTTAAGTCCCATTTTCAAAATTGACTTTGGCACAGATCCCCAAAGGTGCCTAATTCCCATTGATTTCAGGGGGAGTTAGGTACCTAAATACCTTTGTAGATCAGAGTCTTAGTCACTTAGGAACCTATACTTTCAATGAGATGGAGGATTCTAAGTCACTTTTGACAATGGGACTTCGGCTCCTAAATCATTGAGGGACTTCTGAAAAGTTTATCCCTTGTCTACACTACAGTTAGCACATTTTAACTAATATGTTTTTTCTATTTTCGTGGAAACGTGCCCACAATATAATGTGTTCTGAATCACAAAATGATGCTGGGCTAAAAAGCCCCTTTAAAACTTGTGAAGTGTGGTTTTAGGTCACAAAGGTGATATGGTAATAAAGGCATTGTGGGTTTCTACATTTATTCCCTCTTTAATTACTTTTGTATCGAATGTGCCTAGTTTGTAATGCAAAAAGTATATTGCTAATGGTTATTCCCCGGGAGCTAAAAAGTAATGTAGATTCTACAATCAGAACTTAAGTGATGGTTTGTTGATGCTCCCTGAGACAGAATTGATTGTTTGCTTTGAGCCTAATCCAACGCCTAATCAAGTAAGGGAAAGACTCTCATTGGCTTCAATGGGCTTTGGATCAAGCCCTGTTACATAAGGAGCTGAGTTGGGAAAGCAAATAGACAGCAGGGATAGCCGTCACTCTTTGTAGCAAGGTGCCACCTACTTGAACCTGAGCAACAATGACAAATGGGCACAGGAGATAAAACCCCATACATCCTGTGAAGCTCCATTCCAGGTAGATGCCTGATGTATTGTATCTATATCTGGCAGAGACCTGAAGGTTCTGTGCTTTTTTTATATACTTTGGGAACACTTCAATAGCTTGTCAAGTGTACTTGGATTTTCAAAAAGCCTTTGACGCGGTCCCTAACCAAAGGCTCTTAAGCAAACTGAGCAGTCATGGGATAAGAGGGAAGGTCCCCTCATGGATCAGTAACTGGTTAAAGGACAGGAAACAAAGGGCAGGAATAAATGGTCAGTTTTCAGAATGGAGAGAGGTAAATACCAGTGTCCCCTGGGGATCTCTACTGGGACCAGTGCTGTTCAACATATTCATACATGATCTGGAATAAACAGTGAGGAGGCAAAGTTTGTGGACAATAGAAAATACTCAAGATAGTTACATCCAAAGGTGATTGCAAAGCGTTACAAAGGGATCTCACAATAGTGCGTGACTGGGTAACAAAATGACAGATTAAATTCAGTGTTGATGAGAAATGCCTATGGGTAAACATCATCCCAACTATACATACACAATGATGGGATCTAAATTAGCTGCTACCACTCAAGAAAAAGACCTTGTAGTCATTGTGGATAGTTTGCTGACTAGTGCTGCACATTAAGCGGATGTTTTCAAAAAAGCTAACAATGTTAGGAACCATTTGGGAAAGAGATCAATAATAAGACAGCAAATATCACACTTCCATTGTATAAATCCATGGTACACTCATATCTTGAATACTGTGTGCAGTTCTGGTTGCCCCATCTCTAAAAAGATATATTAGAAATGGGAAAGGTGCTAGGGTGACCAGATGTCCCAATTTTATAGGGACAGTCCCGATATTTGGGGCTTTTTCTTATATAGACACCTATTACCCCTCTCCCCCGTCCCAGTTTTTCACACTTGCCATCTGGTCACCCTAAAAGGTACAGAGAAGGGCAACAAAAATGCTTAGGGGTATGGAACAGCTTTCATATGAGGAGAGATTAAAAAGACTGGGACTATTCAGTTTGGAAAAGAGACAACTAAGGGGGGGGATATGATAGAGATCTATCAAATCACAAATGGTGTGGAGAAAATTACTAAGGACGTTTTATTTACCCCTTCACATAACACCAAAACCAGGGGTCACCTAATGAAACTAACAGGCAGCAGGTTTAAAACAAACACAAAGGAAGTACTACTTCACACAACACATGGTCAACCTGTGGAATTTGCTGCCAGGGGATGTTGTGAAAGCCAAAACTATAACTGGATTAAAAAAAGAATTAGGTAAATTCACAGAGGATAGGTCCATCAATGGCTATTAGCCAAATTGGTCAGGGATGCAACCCCATGCCCTGGGCGTCCCTAAGCCTCTGGCTGCCAGATGGGGGGGCTAGATGACCGTGGATGGAGCACTTGATGATTGCCCTGTTCCGTTCATTCCCTTTGAAGCATCTGGCATTGGCCACTGTCAGAAGACAGGATACTGGGCTAACTGGACCATTGGTCTGACCCAGTATGGCTGATCTTATGCCAATAAAATAGCTGGAATTCAAACTGAATTCACTGTGAGTACTTCAAAATTCACTCATTTCAAACATGTGGTCAGGAATAATGGAATTCCCGTGCTCAAGCTTAGCACAATCATTCAAATATCTGGTCAGTACAGATGACCCAGATAGCAGTAGACTGATGTGTATGTCAGAAGTTATATGAATTCTGAAACCTATGCTTCCCGGGTCCCCATCAGAAGGAAAAATTCACTTGTGAATAAGTACAGAAATCAAAATTTCTGACAGGATGCAGAAG